GGGTCATCTTAACCAAATACATTATTGACTTGCCTCATGAATTGCTAGTATTTACGCATAATTTGAAGATGTAACGACTACGGCTTGCTTCATAGAACTCCAAGATATAGCTGTATCTTTATATGTAAGTATATAACTAGTTGTGATTGAGCTTTGTATGGATCGGATAAATAACTCGCATCTACATAACCAATTAATCCTGTATTTGATGTATTAGAGTAATATAAGCTCATATCAATTATTCCTCAAAGATAACGTAGTATATATTTAACTTTATTTCAATGTCTCCATATTGAAGTAAAACTATGACTTGCTAATAAATTTATAGAAAAGACTATATCATGTCGAGTATTATTAGCAAGATATATCAATGCACTAGTAGCACTAGGATATGGTACTTCGAGACTAAATAATTCTTCGTTATCTTCTCGAGGTCGAAAAAGGTCTTTTTGAATATCAAGTGAATGAACGATCATTAGGCTAGTCAATGAATGATCTTTATATAAAATCACTATAGAACTTTTTTCTATACAAATTGATCGATGAATAAAAGTCTCATTCTCTAGGTGCTCGAATTAGAGGTCAAGATAACATTTTTTCTAAGGTATTCACATCAAATTCTCTTTTTAGATAACTTATGACACTTGGAATCTCTTTAGAAGTTCCAATAATATTTAGGTCATCAACATATACAACAAACCCTTTTCAAATAAAAATATTTGAACAAATAGGGTTATTTTTTTAAATAACTTTCTTTCAAAAAATAACCATTGAAGTGATTATATCATATGCATACAGAGTTAGTAATAAACAGTATATGTAAAAATAAAATATAAAAAAAGTATAATATAAATTGAATTTCTAAAAACTAAAATAATAAAACAAATACTAAAATAATCGTAATAGAGATTGATATAATTTAATTTAATTCTTTTTTTTTGAGAATATGTATTACATGCTTCGGCATGTTAAGTCCTTCTAGGACTTTTATACTAATATCATTTTAAATGAACAAATAAACTGTGATCACATTCATTAAATGCATGCATATGAATTTTTTCATATATTTTTTCAAGCTAACAAGATAACGATATGTAATAGCATCCATTCCAAGAGAATAGGTCTCTTCATAGTCAATGTCAGTTCTTTGCGAAAACTCTTGTGTTAAAAGTCTTGCTTTATATCTTACAATCTCATCTTATTTTGTTTTTGTATATATACCTATTTGTATCCCACTAGCTTAACATCTTCGGGTGTTTTAGCTATGGGTTAAAAAACTACTCTTTTGTAAGAGAACATAATTACGTACGGATTGCTCTTTTCATTTAGGCCAATTATCTTTATGTTGATGTTTTTCAATAAATTTTGGCTCGGGATCCTTATTTTCATTCAAACTATCAATTGCAATATTATATGTAAAAATCTTATTAATAAATATTTCTTTTCGGTCATATTTTCTCTTTGTATTGACATAATTTATCAAAATCGCTTAATTTTTCTCAAGCATTTAGAATTTTTTGAAAACCTATTATCATAAATATCTTGGACCATTTTGTGAATATTTACATCCTTTATATCTTCATCTTGCTCTTTTCTTTTAGGGATTTTTATCTTTATAACCGATCGATCTTTCATGCTTCAAGCGTGCTTTAGATTCATTAGCTATAACATTAATAGATCGTCCTTTTAGGATATTAATCTTTAGAACCGATTGGTCTTCCATGCTTCATACTTGCTTTAGATTCATTAGCTATAACATTAATATACCGTCCTTCTAGGACATCAATTCTAATAGGAGCATTCTCAGTGGGGACATGTATTTTAGTTACTCTTTTAGTATTTGAGAATCCATCAACGAGTTGGTTTGTAATACTTTATAGACAAATCATTTTTTGAACTTTTAGTTTACATTATTTTGTACCAAGTTGATATAAAGATAGAGTACTCTATGTAATCTCTTTTTTCAATATTTTTAACTCGCTTATTTTGTTTATTCTCTCCGCCTAATGTTGAAAAAACTATTTCATCACGATGACAGATCAATGAATCAAGTTGTAAAAATATCTCTCATTCATGGTTCAAGATATTGAAATATTGAAGAGGATTCAAATCCAACATATATTTTCAATCTCTTTTAAGTGCCCATTTTAGTTCATTATGGGGGAGCACTATGGATATATACTCGCAATGCCAAAAATTCTTAAATAAGAAATATTTGGGTTATGACCATTAATGAATTGAAGGGGGATAATTTCTTATAAATTATGGCTCGATGCAAACAAGTGCTACTGCATATAAGATTGCATGTCCTCAAACATAAACAAAGAGTTTTGTTTTTAAAAATAGTTTAGCTATCAATTGGAGCCTTTTGATAAATAATTTTACTAAACCTTTCGAATGTGAACATGAGCAACATGATGTTCAACCTTCATTCTAATAGTCAATCAAATCATTTAATCCTTGAGAAATAAATTCATCATCATTATCAAAGTGACTTGTTTTAATGGCATAATCTAAAAATTATGCTCGAAATCAAATTATTTGCTAGCAATCTCGAAAATGTCGAGTTTTAAGTAGATAATAAGCATTTATATGATCACCTTATGGATGCATTTGTTAAAATCATAAAATATTTACATGGTCCACAAGGTGGATGAATTGATCCACATATATCACAATGAATATACTCTACAAATACTAAAGACTCAATCTCGATTTTCCTTGGTGATGACTTATTCATTAATTTGCCTTGACAATAAACGAGAATATAAAAATTTATTAAATTGAAGAATCTTCCGGCTCTTCAATAAATATCCATATGAATTTTTAATAATATTTTTGCATCATGAAAGACCTAGGATAACATAACTCGGTGATGCCACACAATAAAAGTATTTGAATTAGTAAACTTCGATTACTATAGCATTTGTTTCAATCATTCCAATATTTGTAATAAAGATTAGAAGAGAAAGCGGATAAATTTTTTAATACATATTTTTTTACCCGGTATAATGATTATAATATATAAGTATTCACATTTGCTATCTTGATATGATATCAATTTAGATGAATATCTTTGAAACTTAACAAGTTTCTATGAGACTTCGAGGATAATAGAAGATCATTTATAATAAAATTTATTCTTTCGGATAAAAACATATTTGCTTTTCTGGAGCCTTTAAATTATGTCACTTCAAGTAATAATATATTGACTCTTCTAGAGTCTCTAAAAGTTGTCTCTTCAAGTAATAATATATTTACTTTTCTAGAGCTTTAAAAATTTATCTCTTCGAGTCATAATATAATTGCTCTTCTAGAGCCTTAAAAATTTATCTCTTCAAGTAATAATATAATCGTTTTTCTAGAGCTTTCTATTACATTGATATTATCATATAAAATATTAACATAAAATAATCAAAGAAATAAATTCTTCATAACCATAAATAGTAAAATAAATTTATCATTATCTCTATGCATTTATAAGAACATATAAAACATCTTATTTATAAATAAAAAACTAACAAGTTATCAATTTCAATTACCTCTATTTTGATATATAAAATTAGCCTCTATATTTTACTTGTTTTCTTTTTCTAACGAGGTTTGATAAGGTTTAATAAGGTGCTTTAGTGTACGACAATGTACACAACCAATATCCATTCATACCATATTTATAACATTCATTTTTAAAATGTTGACTTTATCTATTTTCATTCTTTTTTTTTCATAGTTATCCATTTCTGGTGGTGGGAAGAAATATTATGATCATCACAATTATAATGATAATTATTTTGACCACGTCCATGACTATGATCACATCTTCTTCTATGCCTAAAATTATTATAAATTATCACATTCACTTCGGGGAATGGAGTATATCCAATTGGTCGAGATTTATTCTTTTTCATTAATAGCTTGTCATTTTATTGAGTCGTCATGAACAAGTATGAAATTATTTCAAAATATTTCTTAAACTCTTTTTCTTAATAGCTACTACAAGAGCATATTCGAGACATGAAAAGTAGATTATATTAACTTAGCATCAAGCACTCATGATCAATAATTCTTGCCCAAAATATCAAGGGTCATAAAATCAAGTTTTATAATGGTTGATATGATATCATTAAAATTCTATATTGCAAAGTATAATAATAATGTTAGGAAATAAAAAATTATTAATAAAATTTAAATAAAAACAAACATAATAATAAAATTTGAACGTTTCAAATAATTATGTTAGATTATTAGATGCTATATATTAAATTATTAAAAAAATTTTAAATGTATATTCTATGCATCATTATATTTAAAGTACATGATAAATTAGATACATATCTCTTAATGATCTAAATAATAATTTAGATCCAATTGGTAAAGCACTTGTGCGTAAGAAATCCAATAGTTAAAACAATTAATTAAGTCTTTTAGTAGATACATACCTCTTGATCTATTATCTCAATTGGTTAGAGCTTCGTGCTGATAACGTATGATAAAATAAATAGAAATAATAGGAGAATTGAAGGAAATGATGACAAAAAAATAAAATCACTATAATGTGAATATAAGTGATAAGAACTTCAAAGTTTTTTTTATTCTCTCTAGAAAACTTATACACCAACTAATGAACAATCAAACTTATTTATAGGTTTCAAAATTGAGAAGAGAATTTAAAGGAATTGTGAATAATTAAAAGTACATCAATTGCATCATCTTTTTCAATTTCTCATATTGAATGATGAATTGAATCACATTAAGAATTATGAAAAATAAGGATATAAAAAATAGAAGAACATTCATATACACATTCATTGTTTCTTGACAAAATTTGAATATGATAATTACATTTTTATCAAAGTAACATTAATCTATTTCTCTTTTTTGAGATTTTCTTTCCAAAATCTTATCCTTCCGCCACGTCAACAAAGTCAAATCACCCCATCAATACAACACCATAGCCATTTCCCTCTCATTCATTCAACTGAAAAGGCCAAACCATTACAATGAAGGGACAAACACTAGCCCTCTCCCTCTCCCTCTCCCTCCTCTTCATCGCCATAACTGTGGTGGCCGTTGATGCCGACTCATGGACTCCGATAAAGAACTTGAAAGGCGAGCATGTGCTTGAGATCGCAGAGTTCGCCGTTTCAGAGCATAAGAAGCTAGTCAAATCCGATGCGGTACTTCAAAGAATCCTTAAAGGCGAATCACAGGTCGGAGACGGCACAGATTATCGGCTTGATTTGGAGGTGAAAGAACGAGGGGCTGATGAGAAATATCAGACTGTCGTGAATGAGGATTCGAAGAATTTAGAGAAGACTGTGACATCGTTTGCGCCTCATAACGGTTAAGAAAAAATGGAATAGATGTGGTGAATTAATAACTGTTATTTATTTTTATTTTTCAAACAATGGAGATGTTAATGATAATAAGTGAGAGTTTGGTGTGTTTTTTAATAAGAAAATGTGTTCTTTTGGTTTCTTATTTTTATAGTTGTTTCGGATGCTTAGAAGAAAAACAAATGGTATGTGGACCATTATAAGAACAAGAAGTGTGTATATATATACACACACGCATTCGAACCACTGAAGAAAAGAAAGAAAAAAACTCAGCTTTAGGCCAAAGAGTCATACTATAGCATATTTAATTATTCACGATAAGAATATTAGTGATATAAATAGGTATATATACCTCTAGTGGTTATATATGTATTTAGTAGTTTATTTCAGTAAAGTAGGTATGCAAATCGAGGTTGGTTTGATCACAGGAATGAACGTTTCAACATAGTCTTGCACTGAGATGCTGGTGAAACCCCTTGGCTACCAAACGAGCCTTGTGGCTATCCATTAGCTTTCTTTTTTTACACGAATCATCCAGTTACCTACTATATTTGTAGTTTCCTGCCCAGAAACAAGCTCCCTTGTACCATTTCGGATCAGAGCATTGAAATCATGTTGCATAGCACTGCTTCAGGACACATCTTTTACGGCTTTAGTGTGGCATGTGGGTACTGTATGGGCAGTAAGGTTATGGGTTTTATGAGAAGGTTTGGATGTAGGTCTTGCTGCGTCGATGTGATGTTGTGAATGATTGTGAATAAAAGTAGTGGAAGTAGGACTCGGTGCATGTGAATGATTGACTGCTTTAAAGGATAACACTTATTCATTAAATAAAACATATCGTAAGATATAAATTTTGAAAATGGTAATATCTAAGTATTTGTATCTCGTGTAATATACTGTATTTTAAGAAAACATAAGATTTGGACCAGGGGTTATTTTATGTATATTACTATCACATTTGGCTCCACACGGAATTGACTATATATATATATATATATATATATATAGAAATGCCAGTGACTAAAATTTATTTTTATATAATTTTTTTTTTTATATAGTTTTTTGAGTTGAAGGTGGGATCAAATGTTTGATAAAATTCCTCACTGATTTTTTCCAGGAAACTAGTGAATTGCATTGACTGAGTATTAGATGTGAAAAATGGGAACTTGTTCATCCCCAACTTCCACGAAACTTGTCCTCAATAATATTTGCTTGATATAGCTACTTTATTGCGAGAAAGAATATCCCTTCTCATACAGAAAAATAGCCATTAAACGTCACTCCTCTCTGCTCTTCAGCCAAAGTACCCTTCCAACTTCCTTGTGTTACTGATTTGTGCTTTAATATGGCTTCCGAGTTCTTTGAGTCCGGCCCCTGTTATTCATCTTCATCCTCTCGACCTAGATGTAACTATGATGTCTTTCTGAGCTTTAGAGGAGAAGATACTCGCAAAAACTTTACAGATCATCTCTATAGTGCCTTAATTCAGGCCGGAATTCATACTTTTAGGGATGATGATGAACTTCCTAGAGGAGGAGAAATCTCCCCACAGCTCGTTAAGGCAATTGAAGGATCAAGGATTTCTATAGTGGTCTTCTCCAAAGGCTATGCTTCCTCTAGATGGTGTCTTGAGGAACTTTTGAATATTCTCAAGAGCCGGCACAAAATTGGGCAAGTTGTTCTTCCTATATTCTATGATGTGGATCCTTCAGATGTCAGAAAACAGACTGGGAATTATGCAGAAGCATTTGATGAACATAGCTTCAAAGAAGAAACGGAGAAAGTCAACAAGTGGAGAGAAGCTCTTGCAGAGGCTGGAAATCTAGCCGGATGGGGTCTAAAAAGCGAGGCAAATGGGTATATCTTTACCTTCTCTGTCAAAGATCCAATTTACATATTATTTTTTTTTTAATGAGAATTACATATTAATCCTTAGTTGCAATATCTTGAATAATAGCAAATTAATTTTCTTTACCAGAATCGATAAGTTTAGATAAAAAAGATTGCACGTTTTTGATGATTTTCTTTCCCTATGAACAGATATGAATCGGAATTTATCAAAAAGATTGTCAGTGATGTGGCTTGTAAATTGGGATGCAAAACCTTGCAAGTTGCCAAACACCCAGTAGGTATTGATTCCCGAGTTCAGAGTATTATTCACTTGCTGAGATGTGCTAGAAATGATGTTCGTATTGTGGGCATACATGGGTTAGCAGGAATAGGAAAGACAACAATAGCAAAAGCTGTATTTAACGCACTTCATTTTGGATTTGAGGGATGTAGTTTTCTTTTTAACGTCAAAGAAATGTCGGAGAAACCCAATGGTCCGGTTGAGTTCCAAGAGCGCCTTCTTCACGATATTCTAAAACTAGATGTTTGGAAGATCAGTAATGTTTACGAAGGAATGAATTTGATCAAAGAACGACTTCATCGCAAAGAAGTTCTTGTTGTTGTTGACGATGTAGATCAAAGAGAACAACTGGACACATTGATTGGGGAGAGAAGCTGGTTTGGTGCTGGAAGTGTAATAATCGTTACAACTAAGAATATCGAGCTCCTAACACAACTGGAGGTGGATGGACTATACCATGCTAAAGAATTGAATCCAGATCAGTCTCTAGAGCTTTTGAGTTGGCATGCCTTTAGGGATACCCGTCCAGAAAAAGACTATGAGGAGCTTTCAGCAAAAGTTGTGGATTACTGCGAAGGACTTCCTTCAGCTCTTCAAATTTTGGGTTCTCATTTGTTCAGAAGAGACAATGCTGAATGGGAAATGGATATTGCCCAATGGCAAAAAGTTCCACATGATGATATTCAAGGAAAGCTGAGAGTAAGTTATGATGCACTGAATGTGGCTACAAGGGAGATATTCCTTGATATTGCGTGCTTTTTTGTTGGTATTGAGAAAGAATGTGTAGCGAAAATACTCGAGGCCCGTTACGATTTCAATCCAGAAGTAGCTTTCGGAACTCTCATTGCAAGGTCTCTCGTAACCATTGACTCCAGTACTACGAAGTTATTGATGCATGACATATTAAGAAGAATGGGAAGGCAGATAATTCATCAAATGTCGCCTAACCATCCTGGAAAATGCAACAGAATTTGGGATCATAAAGATGCATACAATGTACTCCACAATGAAATGGTAAGAGCTAATTACCTTGTTAAGGATCGTGCACATAAAAATAGAGCATATCACATTTCAAACAAACATTTACACTCTTACTTATATATATATATATATATATATATATATATAAGTATGATAAATGTTAGGAAATGTTAAGAAGCATACCTGTATGGAAATATTGCAGACAAAAACTACGGATGAACTCCAAACCAGTTACAAATTCAAGAAAACAAAACTTACACAGTATGGTGATGATGTAAAGGGCGTATTCCTCGATTTTGCGTGCTTTTCCTTTTGTTGGGACAAAGAATATGTAGCAGAATATTCCTCTAGTTTTTGCTACTGTTTTGGTTTAATGTTTTATATTCTGGTTTCTTGTTCTGTATGTCAGAACCTATGTTGTTTTGTCGCCTTGTGGATTCTCCCCTTGGTGTTTTTATGCTTATTTGCTTATTAAAAAGAAAAAAAGAAAAAAAAAGAAATGCAGGATGGTGGTGGCTTCTTTCCTGAAATTGGTATCTCATTCAAAGGTCTCTCTTAGCCATTAAGCATCAAAATAAAATAAACATGCATAATCTTTTATGAACATTTTGGAAAATACAATAGAATTTGGCTTTTTGAGGAGGTATTAATTGGATGTATCAATAAACAGATAGCAAGAACTTAATGGATATGCAATATGAATTGGTTCCATTTGCATTTTGGCTATTTTCAGGGAACAGAAGCTGTGCAGGGTCTCGCACTAAATGTACAAGGATCAAAAATTGTATCTCTTAGCACAAAATCGCTTACAAACATGATGGCAAAGGAGCACATCTTTCGGGAAGCTACAGGTTTGTCCCCAAAGAGTTGATATGGCTTTGTTGGCTTGAATGCCCCATGAAATCTTTGCCATCTGATTTCCAGCTAAACGACCTGGTTGTTCTTGATTTGCAACACAGTAAAATAAAACAACTTTGGAAGGAGACTAAGGTATAAATATGCAATAGGCTCCAAAATTGTTTCCTATTGAAATTTAATTTAGAGTTACATTTTTCACATGACTAATTTTCTTTCATCTTACTTGCTGCTTCGACAGGTTCTTAACAAGTTGAAAATCCTCGATCTCAGCTATTCCAAGTACCTTGCTAAAACGCCAAACTTCGCCGGACTCTCTAGTCTGGAGAGGCTCGTACTTACAGCTTGCACGAGTTTAGTTGAGGTACATCGGTCTATTGGACATTTGAAGAGCCTTGTTTTGTTGAGTCTGGAGAAATGTTGCAGGCTAAAGACTCTTCCAGAAAGCTTGGGCAACGTGGAATCCTTAGCTCAATTGTTAACAAATGGAACTGCAATTACCCAACTTCCGATTTCAGCTAGATATTTGAAGAATCTGACAAAGTTATCGTTTGGTGGATACGACTACATACCTGACTTACAATCTAAATCCTGGTTATCAAGATTTTCACCATGGCATTCACCACGAAGCTGTCGTAGCTTCATAGCTAAGATGCCAGCTTCTTTAACTAGTTTGAGCTCATTGGAAGAACTAAATCTTAGTTATTGTGATTTGTCAGAAGCTGCAAGTTCCATTGATCTTGGGAGTTTGTCCTTTCTTAAAATTTTTGAGATTTTCAGGAAACAAATTCTTCAATTTGCCTTCTGGCATTGGCCGCCTTCCGAAGCTTTCTTATTTGTCGATGGACCATTGCTATAATCTTTTATCAATTTCAGAGATTCCATCAAGTGTATGCAACTTGTGTTTGTATCAATGCCCTTCAATTGAACGAGTAAGAATGCCAATTGAGCACGAAGGAATGCAAAGTGTATTTGTAAATGGGTGCAAAAATTTAATAGAGATTCAGGGCATGGAAGATGCGGGCAGTGACTGGCTTAATTTGGACTTACATGACTGCCACAATGTATCAAATAACTTTAAGAAGACCCTACTTCAGGTACTCTCTCTTTCTCTGTCTCTTGCACTTACAAGCAATTATTCGAACTAAATTTTAATTAGCTTTCCTTGAAACCAATAGGGAGTGTGCAAAGGTAAAAATTATTACATTTGCCTTGCTGGCGGTGAGATACTAGAATGGTTTAGCCATCGTGGAGAAGGATCTCCTTTGCCATTTCGTCTGCCTCCAGTTTCAGATGGTAGTCAACTCAAAGCGCTACTTCTTTGGGCTGTCTTCGATTCGACTTCAAACAGCTTTATCTTTAATAGTAAGAAAATATTTTTTTTAAAAAAAAATTTAATTAATTCATTTCTCAAAACTAAATGCACTAACTTATGATTAATTTACTCCTCTTTCTGCTAACATCCTATTGTGTGTCTTAATTTTGTTGCTCATGCTTTCTCTAGCTAGAACTGTGTGCCCCTCCCAATTGATCCTTGCTTGATATACCTTTATACTGCTTTCTTCTTGGAAGTATTGCATATTTAAGAGTTCTCGAGACCTATTTTGGTGCTATATATGCTCTCATTTTTGTGGTAGCTCGTGTATCTTCTTTGAGCGTCTGTTATTTCTTGATTTTGGTGTTCTTTCTCTTCCCTTCTTGTTTGATCCTTCTTCACCTTGGATGCTTTTCCCAAGTTATATATGTATAGAAAAGAAATGCTTTGCATTCATCACATTAATAAATTATTATAATATTAATCACACAAACTCTTATGCTTAATTTTTCGTAGAGATATATAAGCTACTATTTGGTCTTTTGAATAAATGAAAATAATCATTTATAAAATTTAAAAGAAAAAAATCTTAAGCTAAACAAGTGGATACTAAATTGCTCTCAATAGAACTTAATTATGAAAGATTTAATGCTTAGTTAATAGAGATTTTTTTTTATTTTTTTCCATCGGAAGGTCCATTTGAACTTAATTTAAGCTACAAAATGGGATATATTTTTTATTATATAATTAATAAATGAATCAAAGTTATTAAAATTTAATTAAATCTCTTTCACTAAATAAAGATACAAGATATACTGTAGTTGAGTTAGGCCTCTTTGTATATATTTATTTATTTATTTTATTATTACAATAAATTATTATGAATTGCTTTTAATGAAGCTAGACCAAGATCGAATTGAGATATATATATATATATTCTACATCATTATAGATATTCTTTTTATTTATGATTTCTAGGAACAATTGACCAACGCTTTGTCGTCCATCACATCTTCAATTACCCAAGCATGTGCAGAGTACGAAGATCCTCCATCCATCAAGGCTTTCTGGCTTCGTTCACTCATCTTCTTCACTTTCTTTCTGATCTCACTTTCTTTATAGCCTTGGTAAAAAGGACAAAAGCACCATCTTAACTTTCTAAAAAAGTTTTTATTTGGATAGAAATTGCATGCAATTTTTCTTCCATGCACCTCCTTTGTTTGCTTCCAAAGAGGTTGAACGTGCATGAGAAAGAAAACGGCATTGCATAAAAAAAAAAAAAAAAAACAACAACAACTTCGGAAAAATGAAAACATGTTTTCTGAATCTTAAAATGCTACATTATGATAGCTAGCTTGAGGCTATGTTCTTCATCATGTCTTCTATCAGAAGATGTAAAGCAGAGCACGAAGATCCATTTTCCATCAAAGCTTTCCTGCTTAGTTGACTCATTTCTTTTACTTTATTTCTTATCTCACTATCTTGCTCCATTACGAACTTCACTCTTTCTTTAATATCGTCGGAGCTCACAATTACTTCAGTACTTCCATCCAAGAAAGCATCCTTCCTGTGATCTATTTTAATCTCCACTGCTAATCCCAACTCGATTACCATTTGAAAAGCATTCAATTGTTGCTCTGCGTACAATGGCCATGCCGCAATCGGGACACCAAATAAAATACTTTCCAGTATAGAATTCCATCCACAGTGGGATACAAACCCTCCCACAGCTTTGTGGGCTAAAATTTCTACTTGTGGAGCCCATCCAATCACCTTGCCTGTTTCAACCGTCCGATCCAGAAACCCTAGGGGTAAAATTTCTTGAAAATTTACGTAGTCACTTGGTGATTCAATCTTAGCTTTGGAAGAAGAAGGTTTCCGTAGACACCACAAGAATCGATGTCCACACTGCTCCAGTGCACACGCAATCTCTTTTACTTGATCAGCACTGAAACTTCCCCAGCTCCCGAAGCATATAAACAGTACTGATGATGGAGGCTGATCATCGAGCCATTGCATGATGTCTTTATAATCGTTGATTCGATCCGATCCAAAATCGTAGTCATTTCCTTGACGTCTCACAATTGGTCCCACTGGATATACTGGAGGGATTTCACCATTAGAAAGAGATTCAACCGCATGTGATTCAAACTCTTTAAATGTATTTATCACGATACCCCTCGTCTTCCTCAACCTTCTTGCAGCGTCAAGAAAAGCAGGGAACGCCTGTCTGTTAAGCACAGTTGAAGGCAGGAGCTTAGCAGGGAACCGGTTCACCAGACTTGGAATTTCCAACTCAGCATCCGAGTTTTCGAACTCAAAGAGATCCACTTTCTGCTCATCATGAAGGGCCTGGAGATGCAGGATGGAACCAATAAAAGCTGCACCTGATGCAGAGAAGACATACCAGGGAACACCAAATTCTTCAGCCAAATCTTCCATTCCCAATACAAAAGTATCGAAAACAAACCCAGCAAGTCGAGGAGAGTCTGGGCTCAACTCTGACTGAGTCTTGATCCTGGAAACAAATTCTTTGACATAGGGTTTTTGGGCTTCAGACAGAGAAGCCATCCAGTCACCGCCAGTATTAGATACTGCAGTCTGATCAAAACTTGGTAAGTCAACGACTCGCATGCCATTGGGTAGAGTTGATGCACTGAGTGACTCAGTGTATTTGGTAGTACTGGGGTCAAGAGCTGGATGCATGATGAGGACACTTGTTGAAACTCGATCTCCACGTTCAACAATAAGCTTAGCCATCTCTACTGCAGCTATAACATGGCCCATTGCAGGTAATGGGATGAACACTACCTCTGCTTTCTTCATCTTTTTTTGTTTTTTTGCCAAGTTATTGTTTATTCTCTGTTTGAATGATTTCCGTACTTATAACCGTAATCGATTGTAGAAGAAAATGAATTTCACGAATTTTTTATTTGTAATAATGGAGGCCAAAATTTAGACCTTTACGCCTTGGCTTTGCTGGCTGTGAATTTTTCAAGTATCAGACAAGATGGGATTAGTAACTGCCAAACTTGCTCATCACGGAATGATTCTGTGTGGTGCATAGGGTCCAATTTCGGAACTTGCAACTTAGAGCAGTGTTGACAATGGTCAATTTACTTGGGCTGGAAGAAACTCTTCCAATCTATAACATTTTGCAGCCAACGAGATTAAATTTTATTTCCAGATGATCTTAAGGATTCATCCCTCAATCTCATCTTGGTTTCGTGTATTTAAAAAAATTTATTAAATTCTTTTAGTTATTAATTCTTTTAACCATTAGACCAATCCATTGAGTTATCTTTTGAAAATTAAAGAGATAATAGACAAATCCATTTAAACAAAGTAATTTGATTAAATAATAATAATAATAATAATAATAATAATAACAGCAATCTGATAATGGATAAAAATGAGTTGCTTAACTTTTGAGAGTAAAATGCATTTTTTCTATATATATAAAGGTTTAAAGGTATATTATCTTCTACTTCAAAAAATAGGAAAAGTGATACTTTATTTTTTAGATAAAAGACTGTTTATTTTGTTTGAAAAAAAAATCTTAAATCATAACAATACTAATGCTCTATATTTCATTTTAATATATAGTTTTTATACAAGTATTTAAAAAATTATTATATGATGTTTGATTCTTCTTTTTTACCTTATATTATTCATGATTTTTTTTATTTTAACTATGAAAGTACTTTCATGTATCAAGTAATTTATTTTTATTTTTTTAATAAAAATCATGAAGTTATTTCTTTAATAGTAATTTTAATTCAAACAACACAATAATAAATTATCAAATATTTAATTAGTTTTACTCACATCACAATACATAATTTTAATGGTTTTTTTTCTCTAGTAGTTGTGAACTTGGTCCAATTACTGATAAATATTTGATGTGTTTCTTGGTACCAATTTCTTGGTTTAAATTATGCCACTATCTCTTATTGAGGTGACGTATTTATCTTAAAGATAATGTAATCAATATAATCAAATAAAAAAACATTAAAGTTCAAATTCTTAATTGAAAAAATATTAAAAATTGGTATACTTGTATTGCAATTATCCCAATAATCAACCATTAAAATGTAGTATTTTAATTTGTTTGTACTGACTGTAATGGTCAACCCAACTTCGTACTTATTCTTTTTTTTTTTTTTGGACTATCTTCGTACCTATTTTCATTGACTTGAAAAATAAAAGAAACTTTTAATGATTTGGTAAAATTTAGACTTTTACGAATCCGACAGGATAGGATTAGTCCCCGCCAAACTTTCTAATCACGGAATGGTCCAAGTTGGTCAAATTTTCATGAGGATGGACCGCTACAGGAGTGTCGACAATGGTCAATTTACTTGTCCAGGAGGAAACCTTCTTCCTAACCATATGTATTGTGATATTACACTACCATGTGCCATCAACAATATATCATTTATGTTTTAAATAAATATTTTCTCCTACCAATTTTGTTTTGTTGATAAATCTTTTTTTTTTTCATTTTTCTTTTAATTAACAAGTTTTTTTTTTCACACATTTCATTTGAATACAAACTCATATAAAAAGAAATTAATGTCTTTTTAAGATACCTTTTTATTCAAAACTAAAGAGTATTCTCCAATAAATTTTCATGTAAACTAAAATTATATCTCTTCTTCAAATGATTTTAAGGATTCACCCTCAACCTTACATCAGTTTGGTGCATTTAGAATAACGTATTAATTTTTTTAAGGTTTTGTCCCAAAATTTGAATCCAAAAAATTAAAAAAGAAAAACTATTTTAACCCAAAAAAAAAAAATAGCATAACTATTTTAACCATCAGGCTATCCCTAAGGTTATCTTTTGAAAATTACGAAGATAATAGACTTTTTTTTTTTTTGGAGAAAGAAGGAGATAATTAATTGAAAAAAAATCAGATGCTTAACTTATGAGGTTGAAATGTACATATAAAAAATAAGATATATTAACTCCTAATTCAAAAAGTACGAGAATTGATGCTTTATTTTGAGGTGAAAGACGGTTTATTTTCTTTAAAAAAAATAATCTTAAATCATAACAATAGTACTAATGTTCTATATTTTATCTTAATAACCTTAATTAAATCATTGCAATACTAATGTTTTTATATTTTATTTTGATATATAGTTTTCATTTCACACTTTTTCTGACTTCACTATCCTTCTGCATTAGACCATTTATTTCTTTCATTATATCTTGATAAAACCTAATGTATATTTAAAGATAAAATTAATTCAATTAAAAATATAAGAAGGTTCACAATTATTGAAAAAAAATTGAAACTCATTTGGCATGTTATTGACATTTTAATTAAGATTCAAAAGATATTTTTGTTCTTCCATGTCAACCGCATGTAATAAAGAAACTTTGGAACGCCATCAAAGAGAATAAAGAGAGCTTCCACTGATATTATGAAGATGATGACCTTGAAGTTGAATTAAAAGAGTTTGTGAAAAATAGTTTTGTTGGATGCTGCATTCATCTTGGAGTAATTGTTAAGGTATGAAGATATAGAAAAATACAAAGATAATTCTATGTTGAGTAAAATAAGGTTTTGGATTCGATATTGGGACTTAATCTTGCTTGAGAATCAGTTGCCATTATTCATTCTTGAGAAATTTTATGACCATCTTGTTGAAGATGGCCAAGGAAATTATACTCCTTTTCGAGATCTTGCCTACTACATTTCACATCTGATTTGGTCAAATCTTTATTCCCAACAAAATCTGACAACTCGATCATATGTCAAAAACCATGTCAATCCCAAATTTTAAATTATTAGATAAGATTTCATGATATAATTTATTACTCTTTACACACTCTTTTTATGTAAAAAAAATATATATATATATCTCAACTCAAAAATTTAAACTATTAAATAAATCTCTAAAATATGATTTACATATATACATTCTTTATCTTAAGCCAAAATTGGATTATTTTTCATTTTTTTATTTTTTTTACTCTTTATATTTACATATAGTATTTTTAAATTAACTTTTACATCAATAGATTAAATCTTTCAAAATTAAATCCATTACTTTTTGAGCTAGAGTCTAAGCC